AAAAGGACCTGTGGATATCCCACTTTCAGAATTCTCTAACTTTTGGACTCACTGTGAATAGTTAAGACATAAACTTTGTAAGGACTTCCCTGTAGCTCAGACAGTAAGAATCAGCCTGCAATGTGGGAGACCTGGGTTCGATCCCTGGGTTGGAAGATCCCCTAGAGGAGTGCATGGCAACCTACTCCAGTATTCTTGCCTGGAGAATCCCACGGACAGAGGAACCTGACAGGCTACAATCCATGGGGTCACAAAGAGTCAGACACGACTGAGTGACTAACACTACTTTTACTACTAAACTTTGTTAAGACCAGATTCTGAAACACGTATAACTGTATATACCCATTTCTGAATTAGGTGGAACTGGGCAAATTGGAAATAGAAATAATGTTCAAATCCTGGGGCTTCCCCATTGGCTCAGTGGTAAAGAATCCACCAGCTAAGAAGGAAATGCTGTTTGATCCCAGGGTCCAAAAGATCCCCTGGAGTAGGAAATGGCAACCCACTCAAGTATTCTTGCCTGGGAAATCCCATGGACAGAGAAGCCTGGCAGGCTACAGACCATGGCATCACAGAGAGTCAGACATGACTGAGCAACTAAGCATGTTCAAATCCTAGACACTTCTAGCCATGACTATCCTATAGATTTTTCCTCTTAAGTACATTAAGTACATTTCTTCTTTGTCCACTAATGTGCTGATCCTCTTCTTTACTTCCCCAAAACACACAAAAACTGGGTGTTGGTGGCAACTGGGGGTACAAATATCTTCTCTCACCATCTGGAAACATTCACGTGTTACTGTTTACCAAAAAAGTAAAAGAACATTGCATTCTTTATTTATTTTCCACCCAGAGACAAGTTATTTCAGTATCACCAACAATGGAATTTGCATGAAAATCTGTTTACTGACCCCGTTCCCTAAGGGTACATTTGCCCTAGCACTTGGAGTAAACACCATTTTCATTGCACTAGAAATTGTTCTAATTGGACAGATTGTTACAATTTTAGCAACACCCAAATAAATCAAAGGAATATGAAGCAGACATGCCACCAAGTCTGGATTCTACAACACCTCAGTTCAGTGTTTCTGCCTGAAATAAGTATTTCTTCTACACCATCGACAGATGCCTAAAGGATATCTAAAGACATCAACATTTTTTTTTTTTTTGGAAAAATGATTTAGAGAAATTGATCATTCTGAAAACAATCCATTAAAAAGCTCTATGCTTAAATATATGGAATCTAGAACAATGGTACAGATGAACCTATTTACCAGACAGGAACAGAGAGGCAGATGTAGAGAATGGACATGTGGACAAGGTGGGGAAGGGGAGGGTGGGACAAACTGAGAGAGCAGGATTGACATACATACACTACCATGAGTTCATTCATTTCACTAGCTGGTTAATTTTCATTAACATGCTCTAAACAATAGGATATAAACATGTGGATGATCAAATGACATTCAGTGTATAATATACATGAATGAAAAACCCATAAGGCCCTCTGTATATAACTTCTTTCAAACCCTTCTATTAACTGACTGCTCTTTATATCCCATTATTCACTGACATGCAAACTCTTCATGAGATGAACCTCTCCTCTGTTCTTCACACTTCTCCATGCCACTCTCTGCTGACCCATCTTTTCCCTCATTTGGGAAGCTTTCTCAAATCTTATCTTGTTCTCAATCACCTCCTCCCTGAAGCTTTGAGTTTTAAAACTTAAACTTATAATCATACATTTTTTGAACTTCTTCAATATCTATGTCCAAATTTAACACTTAATCATAAGATACTTTATTGCCCTTTATTTATGTATATGTTTGGGTATAGTGCTCTTTGCCAACTAAATCACATGATTTAAAGGTAACACATCCCTCTTATGCCTCTCCTTCAAGTTTCTGTCAAGATCCTACTCCATGTTTCTCTTGATAGTCCTTCTTTACTTTTTAAAGACTTTTTTTTTAATGTGGACCATTTTCAAAGTCTTTATTGAATTTCTTACAATTGTTATATAGTCATTAAATCATGCCCGACTCTTTTGTGACCCTATGGACTGTAGCTTGCCAGGCTCCAATGTCCATGGGATTCTCCAGGCAAGCATACTGGAGTGGGTTGCCATTTCCTTCTTCAGGGGATCTTCCTGACCCAGGGATCAAATTTGTATACCACCACACCCCCACCCCCTCCCCACCTCGGGCAGGTAAACTCAATACCAGAGTCTCTTGGGAAGCCTTTGTTACAATATTACTTCTGTTTTATGTTTTTGGTTTTTTGGCCTCAGGGGGATGTGGGATCCTAACTCCCTGACCAGGGATTAAACCTACATCCCCTGCGTTGGAAAGGGAAGTCTTAACTACTTGATATTCCTTCCCACCACCATGTTTATCTGAAATATGCTTAAATTAGATGCCTTCCCCAAAAGAAATTTCTGTAACTCTGCTTCTTTCTCAAGTTCTCCCATCATCGCTACTTTATTTTTCTTCTAAACTTCTTTTTAAAAAAACATTCCTCCCTCTACTTCTCTTCCATTTCTATCTCCAGCCCTCACCATCCTCACCATCTGAGTCTCCATCAAACTTCTGTCCTTAAACCATGCCTCTCTGTCGCACTGAACATGCATGCACCCTATCTCCTCTCCTGACTCCCAGTTCACCTCCTTCCCCAACACACAATGCTTAATTTCTTCTTCTGGTTCCTCCCCTAGAGGGTTAGGTGGTTATTCCTCACCTCTGCTCAGCTTTCCCTGGTAACTGCATCTCTGCCCTGGTCTTTGAACTTCCAGATCTCCTCCATCTACTACTACCTAATCTGTATTTCTAGTGTCTTACTCTAGGCAGGGCCCCAAACCTTAGTTGCCACCTGCAGGGCAGTTCCATGGGGTGAGTTCAGAACCCAATTCCAGTTAGTCCTTCCAATAGTCCATTACCATTCTTGCTGTCTTTTCAGTTAAGTAATTTTCCTAGACCTAGCTGGCAGAGATTTATAATTCAGAACCTCCATCACTCACCACCACCCCCCAGGGCATTCAGCACTCACCATGTCCTGTAACTACTACCTACTAGGATCTCTATACTCTGTGTTCCATACCTAACTAGCACATCTCATTGAGGCTGAGACTGGCCACCCCTGGGGCTACGGGATGGACACTGACTTACCTTTCTCTTTTCTCCCCTGATAGTCAACCCTCCTTACACTTCTGTCAGAGGAATCTTTCTGAAAGAAGTATCTGAACAGTGTCCTACATGAAAAGCCTTATTTACTTCTACCCTACAGGTAGGATAAAGCCCCAAATCCCCAGTTCTGGAGCTTCTAGGAAGAACCCCAGAACCCAGTATGAGCTGGCCTGCCCTGATCCTTTTCTGCTGTCACTCCCACTCTGTCTCAATTACTCTGGCCTCCCTGACATTTTATTTTTTTGTTTTCTTTACCTTAAACCCAAGAGGCTTGTGCTAGATCCTGGAATGGGCTGCTCTCATATCTTCACATGGCTGAGGACTCTTGCCATTCATGTGCTTAGGCACTCAGTAGCGTCCAACTCTTTGTGACCCCATGGACTGTAGTCTGCTAGGCTCCTCTGTCCATGGGGATCTCCAGGCAAAAATACTGGAGTGGGTTGCCTTGTCCTTCTCCAGGGGTCTTCCCAACCCAGGGATCGAACCCAGGTCTCCTGCATTGCAGGCAGATTCTTTACCGTCTGAGCCATCAGAGAAGCCCCTTGCCATTTATGTCTGGTCTCACATGTTAGCTCCTTGGCAAACATCTTAACCAAAGGATAGTAATTGCTGCCCTCCCTCTTCCTTCCTGAGACCACCTGGTCACTCTTTTTACATTTACTCTGTTGCATTTCTTCAAGGCACATCTCAGCATCTGGAAGTCTGTTTCTTTACACATTTACTTATTTAGTGACTCTTCCAACTCAAATGTAAGGCCCACGAGCACGAACTTTGTCTCACTTCACTTACTCCAGCTCCTGGAAGTCAGTTCCCTCCACTGGGGCACCCCTCTCCACATCCCTATCCCTGCTCCATTTATAGGGCTGCTCTAGCACTTCTCAGATTATATCTTTATTTGAAAACCTATTTCCAAAGGAACTAAATAGAGGGAAAGGAGGTCATATCAAAATGTGTGGGCCAAGGGGAAAGCAAGAGAGGAGTATCTGGTTATAAGATGCTCAAAAGTGTAGATCTCAGTATAGAAGAGATGTATCTTTATTAAAATCATCCCTTTTATGTTCGTTTTAGTTATGCTGTATGTATTTCATTTTCCATGTGTTAGTTTCTAATATATATAAATGGGGGGTATAAATACATCCATTAATATATATAAGTGGATTTAAAAGGTATGTTTATACAGACCTTCTATCTTGTATTCGTCCTACTAAATGTACTTCTTAGTTCTAAGTAACTTTTAAAATTCCATAGATATTTCTACATACACAGTCATGTTATCGTCAAATAAAAAGTTAAATTCTAACATTCAAAAAATGTACATTTAATATCACTGTTATTTTTATGTACAAAATATAGAAAGTAGAGAATCAAAAAACCATAGCTGCTAGAGCTATGCAGGATATGGGGGACATGGATTGAAACAGTTAAAAAGCACTGTCAGCACAATTTGTTATGATCTGTCATCCTCACTATATTTTGAACTCCTGGTGAACAAAATCATGTCTTGTTTATTTGTCAATATCCCACCAAACCTAATAAAATACTTTGTCTAAAGTAGATACTCATAAATTTTTTTTTAAACAGAACTGAAATACTCCAGCACTGGACACATGGCACATGTTCAATAAATACTTGTTCATTGATTGCAAGAACCAATGAGCAAGTTCAAGTTTGTTGAATGATCAATGGAAGCTCAGCCCTGCTGAGAAACTGTAACAAGAGATGCGAGGAGGTAGAAGTTGTCATTACTATCCACATAGAAGAGCTTCATTTCTCAGGTAATGACAAACACAAATGCTTCAGGGAAAACATTTAAATGGTTACCTGTACATTTCTTTATATGACTGTTTCTTTTTCCATGTGATCCTAACTTGCATCCAAAATTCTCCTCCCAGAATTCTGCAAACCATACATTTCTTCGATTATTGGCAAGAGTTCGGCTTCTAAAGTATCGATCAAACCCTATTTTAAAGAAGAAAGGTATGAAAATATTTTTTTTCAAAATCAAAACCATGTACTACCAGAAATTTGAATAGATAGTATATTATGTTGTGATCATTGCATGGAAAAAAAAAAAAAACATAACAAATGGGGGAGGAGCAATAACCCAGAAATAAGGCTATCCCTGTGGCAAGAATCAGTGGAGAACAAAGAACAATATCTCTACTCCCACCATTTACCATTCAGGCACCTGGCTTTTCAGGGATGTGCACAGAAGGTTGGGTGTCATCCACACCACTTCTTCCTCTCCTCTATGTCTCCCAGTGGCAGCAACTAGTGACTTCATGCTGAATATTTAGAAGCAACTCAGATTTTTTCTCCTCTCTTTCCCCTAGTAGGGGGTCTATGTTCTGGGTTTCTGTGCTTCTACACACCTGAAGATCTATCTGATCTGGATGTTCCATTTTCAGCTAACTCAATAAACCAATCACTACTAATGTAACCTTCTAGTTTTTTAGTTGCTAAGTCATGTCCAACTCTTTGAAACCACATGGACTATAGCCTGCCAGACTCCTCTGGCAGTGGGACTTCCCAGGCAAGAATACTTAAATGGGTTACCATTTCCTTCTCCAGGGGATCTTCCCAACCCAAGGATTTAACCCACATCTCCTGCTTGGCAGACAGATTCTTTACCAATGAGCCACTTGGGAAGCACCCGATCTTCTAGAGTCCTAGGTAATAAGCTAAAGTATCAGTCTGGTCAGGTAACTACCTCATTGAAGGAAGAATACTGGAATGGGTTGTCATCTCCTTCTTCAGGGGATCTTCCAGACCCAGGGATCAAACTTGCATCTCCTGCATTAGCAGGCAGATTTTTTACCCCCAAGCTACCAGAGAAGCCCTTACTTTGTCATTATTCTCACTTTAATACATATACTCTTACACCATTGATGAAATGATCTCTTGAACAGCATACATAAAAACCAAAACAAAACCTCCAATATACCAAACATTTGTCAACTGACTACTTCTCTGATTTTAATATTTCTTTCAATTTCCAACTGAGCTTTGATCGATAAACATGAGATTATTACTGGAAATAACACCTTGTTCCAACAGATAATGGTAAAGGTAGGAATTTTTGTCACTGTCAAGATCACTGGAAAAGATATCTGGGAGACAGACTGCTTTTCAGGGGTTTGCCACATCTTCTGTTGTCATTCATTTATCCATAGAGTCAAACCAGCATCATGCCTTAATTTGCTATAAAGCAAACACTATCCTTCCAACCATGCTATAACTGTTGTGTATGTTCATGGATATATGCAAACTTAGAGGGAAACTGCTAATATCATGGAGATATCTAAGGCCAACAACAGTGCTCCTTAAAAAAATGTCTTGTGGATATGTTTTCTAATTTAAAAAATATATAATGTGCTAAGTTAAACAGTTACTGTCTTGGTAATTCTGCCATCAGTGCTACAAATTTTATCCAGAGTCATAAAATAATGGATGCATTTCATCATATGCTGATACTCTGATTTTGCTTTTGAGTTTAGATTCAGCTGGAATGAAACAAATTCTGTATGGTGCACCCTTACCATCAATTGATGCTCTTTTGGGTAAAATTGTCACAGCCCCTTCTGCAATCTCCTCCTGCTGATAAACGGGTGCTATTTTGGATCCCCAACTATCGGAGCCAATCCAGAGAAAATGCCCACTTTGGTTTAATTTTTTTGCTGCTTCCAATATCCTCCTACGAGAATAAGAACAAATAAAACACACCACATTTACCAAGAAACTCTATATATATGAATGTTACAGGACCTGCTATATCAAGTCATCAACACTCAGTAGGTCACTACTGAACAACAAGTCAATCATTCTAACTGCCTGATTTTTAACATCTCCGAAAAGAAATAAATTGGAGATTTTAAGTCCAGTGTCTGTTAATTAGCCTTATTCCTAACCTCATTCACATTATTCTGTCTATCATTGTTGCTTGCCTCATTTCTTTTCAGTCCCCAGATTTTACTCGATAAACATTTCAGATAGAGAAACCAGAAGGTTGTTGTTTCTATGTAGCAGAAGGCAGTCTGTACTTGCATAAGAATGCTGCAATTCCTGTGAAATTTTATAAGATTCTACATTGAACATAAAACATATTAGAAAAGGGATGTGGGGTGCAAATATGATCCTAAACGAGGAAGAAAATCAATCAGTACCTGATGTCATCTTCATTAGCAAACATAATCACTGCCCGAGCATTAGGTGTTTCTAGCAGGCGCTTGATGATTTTTTCAAATTCTCCAGGTCTTGGTTCACGCGGAATTTTCTGTGATTGAGCAATGCAAACACCACCTATTTAAAAAGAGAGAGAGAGAGAGAGAGAGAAAGTGATTCAAAACAGACATTTACTTAACACACTTAATGAGGTTAGCTACTTTATAGAAACACATGACTCAGGAATGGATATTGTTTCTCAAAATATCTGTCATTCTCACCTATTTAAAAGCAATCAGGATGTTTTGCATCCTAATATATATATACATATATATATATATATTTATATACATATATATCAAATGAATGACATCAATGACTTAATCACACATCAGGTTTTTGTTTCCAAGTTTAAACATTATTTTTGTGAATGTCCTTTAAAAAAAAAATCAAAGTGCACAAAATGTAGGACAGGAGAGAAAGAGTGGCAAGAAAGGCTGTTTTAATTCATTTAACAGAAGTCCAAGGACAAGTGCTTTGATT